TGATAACTCTATCTGTCTATGGGATATAAAAACGGGATAATAAAATACTAGATTGGATGGTCATAGCGATTATGTCACATCAGTCTGTTTCTCTCCTGATGGAAATACATTAGCTTCTGGTAGTTATGATAAGTCGATCATTCTATGGAATATAAAAACGGGATAATAAAAGGCTAAATTGGATTGTCATAGCAATTGTGTCACATCAGTCTGTTTCTCTCCCAATGGAAATGTATTAGCATCTGGTAGTAGAGATAGATCTATCTGCTTATGGGATGTCAAGACAGGATAATAAAAAGAAAAATTTGATGGTCATGGTAGGTCTGTTGATACGGTTTGTTTCTCACCAGTAGGAAATAAATTAGCATCTGGTAGTTTAGATAAGTCTATCCGTATATGGGATGTATAAACAGGATATTAGATAGAAAGATTTGATGGCCATAGTGATAGAATTTGGTCAGTCTGTTTCTCTCCTGATGGAAGTTATTTAGCTTCTGGTAGTTATGATAAATCTATCTGTTTATGGGATGTATAAACAGGAGACTAGAAAGAAAAATTAGATAGCCATAGTGATAGAATTTGGTCAGTCTGTTTTTCTCCTGATGGAAATACATTAGCTTCTAGTAGTGATAACTCTATCCGACTATGGGATGTGAAGAATGAAATATAAACTTTAAAAGCTGACAAAACTTATAGACCATTTTAAAACAATCCTCTATCATGTATTTTATCTATCATTTTTAGTATCCAAAACCATTACAATTCTCCGAATATCTCAAACACCTTTATTTTAAGCAAAAGGAGCGTTAATTTTCAAAGGAGATTTTGTAAATTATGAGGGGTTCGATTTAAGATCACTATTTCAATCCAAAGGAAGTTGCTTTATAGAAGACTTAAATTAAAAGTGAATTTGATTATTATCAATATCAATTATAATTAAAACCAACCTTTAGTATTTTTTTAATTATGTCTTTATTAGTTCCACTCTTAAACTTCACATCTTAAGATAGATAAAAAGTTTTAATCCATTTCAGTCATACACACACCTCATTTATTTTAATGTTTTAAAATTTAGGTTTAGTCTAGTGTAAGGAATATTGATTTAAATATCATAAAAACTGTTATCAATTAATATTCCTCGAGATTTTATTTTAAATTATACCTCTTTTAATTAATAATCTAAACAGAGAACAGTAAGCAAAATGAAGATATTAAAATAAAGATCTTTAATTAAAACAACATTCTTTTATAATAAATCTTGGATATTATATTATTGATTTACTTAATTTATTACTATTTATAAACGGGAAGAGTCTTAATTACTAATTTTGTAAAATTTATTTTTATTTTATAAATTGTAAAAGATATTTTTAATAAAAATAAGAAAAAAGATACATCAAGAATTAAAAAATAAAGTTGTACCTAAAATTAATCTAAACTACAAAAAAGTTAAAACAATTAGATTGGATGACCTTTAAAATTACACTTC